TAACTATTTGATATGCAAGTTTTTACTTTGCAGTGCAAGTTGTTTTAAAATCAGATTTTAAAAAAATTATGGAGAATCTGCAGTACCGTCATATTTATGACTCTACAAATGACGGGAAAATATTTCAAAAATAATGCTGCATTTTTTTAATTATGCAAATGCCCTTGAAAATGGATAAAACAGGAAATATTTCAATTTTAAAAAAATTTACTGTTTATTTTTTCCCTTGTTTTACTTAGTATAATGTTACAGATATTGCAACAAAGATTTCAACCATCAAGGGATGTATACAACTGCAAAATCTGTAATGAAACAAAATTAAGCTTTAATTAAAAAGCACGGTTGAAAACCTTGGACAGGGCAAAAATTAGCTGTTACGGCTGCCTCTGGGATAATAAGTACACCCTTGAAATTTTAGTTCATTTACTTATAAAATAATAAATATTTTTAGCTCCCATTAATTCGTTTCACAGCATATAAGCTATCCACCTTTAACTGAGCGATTGAGCGAATTTGGGAAGAAGAGAGATACTTAAAATTCGATTTCTTAAAGAACTATTCGGCCAGTTTCGCTCACACTTTGTATTCTGCCTTGTAAAATTGCATTCTTTAAAATGATGTCAAATATTGTATATCTTTCAACTCAAAGATTTTTCGACTATTACTGTATAAAATAATTTAAAAAAATTATAAATATTTACTAAAAAATATCTTTTGCATGGAATTATCTGTGTGCAACACCATTTCATTTCGCTTAAATAATTTTCGACCTAGGGCGAAATGCGCAAAAAATAAAATTAACATTAAAGGGACCACTTTGCGCCGCACTCTTTACCAAACTGTGACCATATTTCCCAAATTGCGGTTACACCCTATATTTTATGGGGTCAGGAACCCAAATAAGTCAGAAAAAAAGGTATGTTGATTAAAAAAAAAAATTCATTTTGTATCTGATTTTGTGACTTAAAATGTCTGTATTAATTATTAGCTCATATTCACCTCCTCGAACCCTTAAGATGGAGTCCGAGACCGTGAAAATTCGATCATTAAATTAAAAGTTATTCAATTTTTTTTTTTTTTACTCACTCTACATAATATTATCTAGGCAGGTTTATTGGGGTTTTTTTATTTTATTATACTATAAGAAAATTGTTAAACACCTCCAACTTTCCCCCAATAATCCTATGAAACTGAATGTTTGTTTGTCCCGTATAATCTTCTAAGCCATTCATCCTATTGAAGTGAATTTCGGCACATTGGCAGTTTGAAGCACGAGAAAGTGCTTCAAGCTATCAGTTACTATTGACAATAAAACATTATACTTTGAATTATTCAAACGCTTCTATGTGAATTCGGGGTCCTTTGTGAAAAACGAATTTTCTCGTAGGACTACCATTAAGTGCTGAAACTTTCATTTAAAAGATATCTGAAACACCTGATAGTTTATAGCTCTATTTAATCAAAAATGATTTTCACAGAAAATTAATTGCACATTTCTAATCATTATTCCTCTTTGATTTTTTGGGTCAAGTGAACAGAAATGAAATTACGTACATCTTTGAAGGGATAACGACGTCGAATTAATGTTTTAAAAACTATTTTAAACTATGTTAATTGAAATGCCTCTCCATAAATATAAATGCAAAATAAATAAAAATTACAGGAATTTAATCCATAAAACTTCTGTTCTGACGAATTTAAAAATGTAAAGTCGCCTGGAAGCATAGCAAAATATTATAAAAACAGGGAAATTATGTACCGATTAAGTGAGATTTCACGAGATAATTTTTTGCAGGGCTCAATAAATCAGTTTTGTAAGTACAGTGACTCTCGGTAAAAGATGATTGTAACAATATTAGTGCCATTACACTGCAAAAAATTCCGGATCAAATTATAGTAAAAAGTACTAGCACTTTGGGTGCATAAACCATTTTATCATTTATCAATTTTCATCGTAAATCCATTTTTATCGTGAAATATTATACCCTATTTCTTACAGTAATATTTATTTAATTCGAGTGATTTAACTGTAATTATTAATGCAAAAACTACGGTATATAAAATTTTTTGTTCCGTAGCTTGTCCCGGAAAAAATCTTACTGTAAAATGTACCGGCACCTTGAGTGCCGGTATATATTACCCTAATTTGATCAGTATTTTTCCACAGTGTAGTTATATTGGTATTTTATTTGCTTCGGATGACCGTAAAAAATTGCCAAACCATTATTGATACCAGTGTTGCTTAATTAATTCTGATAATAGGTACTACTGGTATAATGGTAATAGGTACCTAATATACCAGTATATATAGCTGATATACGTTCTATGGTCATAGGTTTTTACGGATCCCGAAAACAGCTAAGTACTGTTATTAACAATATAATTATAGCAAATATCCACTGTTAAGAAATTGGTATTGTGAGAACTTTAATATACCTCTTGCAATGCATGATTAAACAGCTAGTATGCTATAAAAAATTTAAAAAACTTATAAAGAATAAAATGTCATAGTAATTTAATTGGCTCGCTTTTCATTCTGTTATCCTTAAATATTTTTTTAAGAGAAAAGTTACATCATTGCTTCAAGAGTTTGAAACAAAAACTATCTGTTGATAGTTTAAATCTCATGGGTGAATACCTGTAAATGTTACGAATAGTTAATTTGAGATAACCAGGTGTGTAGAGAATGGTGAAATATTTATCTTAACAATGTGATGTTACGTTTAATCGTTGCTAAAAGGGGATTTTGAATACATTGAAACAAAAAGAGTTACCGTTGTTCCGCTTAAATTGTCCATGAGCTCATCTACGGCCAGAAGTTGCTCACAATTGAAAAATAATCCAATTTTCAAAATAATGAAAATCTTTCATGTGTGAATTAACTACTGAACAAAAAAAGGAATGTTCATGGTTTTATTATTGCTATAATATTATTCTTTTGCTATATATATATATAAAAAAATTCAATCAATCATATTTAAAAATGTATCAATAACTGATTTTGTAAACTAAAGAAATTTCGAATGGTGAATAAATGTTTCTCTTAGATCTAAATAACGGAGAATAAGTGTAATTTTGAAAAATTATTGTTTGGAAGAGAGTCGTGTTTGGAAGACTTAACCTTTTACGTAGAAAAAGACACCGGAGTTTAATGCTGCATTTCATATCCAATCGCCTTACCAACGTTTTCCTTAAAATAATTAATAGACACGAGTGCAATCTTAGTGAGAAAAACCTCTCAATTTTGTTGATTCAGTTATGCCTACACTATTGTCATTATTTTTGATAAGTTTTTCGTCACAAAACCATGTGGTTTTTGACAAAACGCGAACATTCAAATATTTAACGAGACTGCTTCCTCGTTCACTTGTCATCTCAGTGCTTTCTAAGAGTTTTAATCGACTATTTCGTACCCTCGTTCCTATAATTATGTATTTTAGTAAAATGAAATTAAATGTGAACTACTATTATGTATACAATATTCAACTGTAACTCTAAATTATATGCGAAAAGTTGTTTTGATTTACGCCGATAGAACGCCATGGTAGTAACGTTTCATCTATTATAATGTTACGAATTGTCTTCGGAAAAAAATGTGTTGCTGTTGTTTGTAAGACAAGCAGAGGATATCTTGTTGGACGAGCCGAGCTCGCCAGCCATTGACTATTTGCAAATTATGTCAATAAGACGAACCTTTCGTTTGATAATAGTGCACCACAAGGGTGAAAGTACGTCTTAGTTCAAAACCCGGCAGATAGATGGCAACACCACAAGTTGATTTAGACATAGATCGCAAGGAAATGGAAATAAGGAAATTTTCTCTAGATACCTGTCCATGATATCGCTCAGCAATCCACTATAAGGCTTTCGATCCCACAGATTTTATGAGCACGAATATCGCATATACTCAGAGGGTCATAGCGGAGTCGAGGCTCGAACCACGGCCTTGTCCGATTCTCTAACCTCTGGGTTACCACGTGGCTTATTTTTTTTTCTCCAATTTTGAAACCTTTTCTACTGCTCACGTTTGCTAAAGAAATTTTTCAGTTCGGTTATCGACGATTATTGAGTATTTATAGATTTCGTATTTCCTTATCGATTTTGTTAATCAATATGTTACATTAAACTTAATACTTTTGACGAGAGTCATAAATTCAATCAAATTTAGTTAAGAATTACCTCAAACTGACGAAATTATTGCTCTGAACTTTTCTAGGAAACGGTAGTATTATTAAAAGTTAAACCGATTTTTCCTGCGAATGGTACGGTAATACTAATGATAACTCAAAAAGGAGGTTAAAGTTTTATATATTCAGCAAGATAATTTTGAAAGGTGACCAAGAATCATAAACATAATATTGCGTTATCATAACATAAAATTGAGTTAAACATCCTAACGCCCGCTAAAAATATTAACAAAGTTTAATTAACCCATTACTTCCGTTAAGAACGAACAAGACAAACTATTTGACTAACTAAAAGTTTGCATTGTATGATTATATGTCTATGTGAAAATAATTCTTAACACTTGTAAGCGTATTTAATAAATCTCCATTAGACTTGTTTTAATCTCATTAACCATTTTTGCGCTGATTCAAGAAATATAAATATATCCTAGGTGAAATATGAGCTATTCCCTTCTTGCAATCGAACTAATTTGCAAAATGTATCTTTGTCCTAATTCAAGTACAATACAATATTAAAATCTGACAAAAGATTACACACAATTGGTAATAAAAAAGCTATTAACTATAATTAAGTAAAACTTTGAGGAAATTGAGAAGAAATGTTTTTCAACAAACAAGTGTCGAGCTATAAACAGAAAAGTACACATTTGCTTAATATCTTATCTCGAATAGCGTAAACTTGATATTTGAGTTTTTCGATACTTTAAAACCTTGACATTGGTTTCTCTTGTTCCAAGCCTTTTATTTAATAACCATAAAATTGTTTTTACTATCTTTTTGTAATTCTCACTCTGTTAAATTTTTTTCAACTAGGTACAAAAGAAATCAACGTTAGCATCAAACCTGGAGTTGCATTATCCCTAAACAACGTTTTTCTGTGAGTACGCAAATTTTAATTTTTTATAATAACTTCAAGAAATTTAAAAAAAACTTGATACATATATGACCAATACGTAAAATTTTACTGACTTGAAATTGTGGGTTATAATAATGTGTGCTAAATAAATAAAAAATATCAGTTTCTTTTTCAATTCCTGAGCTTGGCTTTCTCTGCGCGTATAATTATCTTTTCATGAAGTCATTTACTTTCTTGCCTTTTCCAATTTTTATACCTTTTTGATGTGTTTTTTTTTCAGTCATTACATATTTCCAACATCTTCGCTTTTTACCATTTTTGTAAAATAAATTAGTCAACAGAATGCATTTATTTAACTTATATCTCAAACAACAAAAGTAGTTTAGGTATATTATAGTAGTATATTAGTAAAAGTAGTATAGTAGTATATTATAAGTAGTAGTATATTATAGTATACCAAAGTAAACCAAAAACCAAACCAAAAGTAAACCAAAAGTAGTATATTATAGTACATTAAACTAATATGTGACGGTATTAGTTTAATTGAGATACAAAGTTAAATGAACTAAGTAAAAGGATGATAAGTAAAGTTAATAAAAAGCTTAATTTGTTTTTACAATTCAGGAGCAAAAAAAATAGACTAAGTTAAATTTTCTTATATTATTATATATTTTAGTATATATAATAATATAAGAAAATTTAACTTATATTAAATTCTCTAATACTATAGTATTTAAATTCTCTTATATTATAGTATATTAATTAGTTGTTCTTATTGATAGTTAAGTATATTATTAGTTACTAAATATTTCTAGTCGGCATAAGAAACAAAAAATAAATTGAAATTGGTCAACACTATTTTTCACAGGTTAATAAAGGCTAGACTCGCATCTAGACTCTTGCATTTAGATAAATGACCATAGCTTACTTCTTGTTTACTTCTATTTGTAAAAATGAAATTAACGTATATTGATAGGAATCGCATGTTAGGACAACTTATTTAGAATTTGGGAAAGAAACTATCAATAAATAAACCAAATAAACAGAAAATTTTTTGGGATCAACTGTATCTATTTACTTTGAAAATTATTGCTTCTATTCGTGAGTAATTAAGTTGCTGTTACCATCAACTGTTTAGTTTGCAACAATATTATGTTTTACTAGATAATATTTACTTGTCGGAAAAGGGCGAACCCAATAAAAACGAGACAATTGTTTCAAAACTTTTCATTTTAAGAGCAGACATGAGGATGTTTGATTTTGCAAGTGCTTGTTGATGGGGAAAGTCGGAACAATCATAATTTCTTAAGATATTTTCAGTTCAAGCAACTCCATGAACAAAAAATCATAGTTTCGAAAAAGTAAACTAATAATTATTATGTTTTTAATAAAGAAGAGGTGAATACTTTAGAAATTTTGAGGTTTTTGACTCACAGAACAGAGAAAACTTATCTCAAATTTTCTATTTACTCTCTACTTCACAAAAAAAAACTTAACTATTATCTGTTTGCTCCATAGAAACTTGGTTTTTTTTTCGTTTGTGGTTCATGGGTGTTTCTCATATTAAAAAAAAATCAAAGTACAAAGTTGTTGCTTTCTCTTCTGAAAATCAACTCCCCTTTAAAATTTAAAAAGTTCAGTCTTGGTTATATTTGATTCAGCGTAGTAAATCTTTTAAAACCTAAAATAACATACTTTTTCCCCAAAACTTTCATTGATATGAAAAGTATTTGGTCAGTGAAAATACAGACAATGAAAAAAAGAAGAATCAATAGTATATTTCCTCTTAATTTTCAACTTAAATATGATAATTTAATATACAGTTCGGTCTAATTTTATAATCATTTTTTTGGTCTAATTATATAATAAATTATATAAAGATTATATAATGATCAAGAAAAGAAATGAAACAATTTTCCTCTCAATTTTTGGAGGCCATAATTCTCTCTAAGAATTGGCATTTGGAACATAATCGTGTAATATTTTTGGATTATAAATGAATTGTTTTCAAGTGTAGTTCAAACCAATAAAAAAAAAAAATTGGAAAAAAAAAAACTTAGAATTCCGTATACGTTAGTATTTCTAGACTAGGTGTTTGTATTTACGTTATCAATTAATAATACACCAACTATGGATTCTTTAAATCTCATATTTTCTGTCATTCATGTTACTTATTGATTTTGCCATACATATCCCCAATCTCTTCCTGCTTTAGACCCCCAATAATCGACATTTGTTTGCGGACCCCCAGCTTTATCAATTAAGTTCAATAGTATTTCGAACATATAAATCAATTAAAGGTTACTAATTATTTTGAAATAGTTAAATATTGAATTTGAGTCGTGATGTATCCCCTTGCTGTCAGGCTAACCGTGGGAGGTTTTCGTGGTATTCCTCTCCGTGTGACAAAAATGCGAGTTAGTTCCATCAAAAAGTTCTCCTCAAAGGCAAATTTCTTCCAATGATCCAGGAGCTCTTTTGCCTTCTGGATTGGGTTCAAAATTACAAGGCTACGGAGTTGAGCATTAGTAGTCGTAAACCCCCATAAAATGGGTTCGATGTTCAAAACGGTTATAAAATATCAAATTTGAGCCGTGATTGCTCAGGAGATAGAGCATTAGCTTTCCAATGCGGTGACCCGGGTTCGAATCCCAGAGATGGCTGATCGATACGAATTCCGCATCCTGCTTGCACCGATCACAATGCTGACGTGAAATATCTTCAGTGGTAGACGGATCATGGGTTAAAGTCCCCTTGTCGTCAGGCTGACAGTGGGAGGTTTTCGTGATCTTCCTCGCCATGTAACGCAAATGTGGATTAGCTCCATCAAAAAGTCCTCCACGTAGGCAAATTTCTCCCAATACTCGATCCAGGAGTTCCTTTGTCTTCTGGATTGGGTTCAAAATTATAAGGCTACGAGTTGAACATTAGTAGTCGTATACCCATAAAATTGGGTCGGCTGTTCAACGACGGTTTTAATATAAAATAAAAAAATATCGAATTTCAGCCGTGATGTTCAGCCCTTGACGTCTGGCTAACCGTGGAAGGTTTTCGTGACTTTCCTCTCCGTGTGACGAAAAAGCGGGTTAGTTCCATCAAAAAGTTCTCTACAAAGGCAAATAATTGGTTCAATAAAGTCCTTTACGAAACCACTGTAACCTTTTTGCGGAACCTTAGGGTTCCGCAAAGCACTTTTTGAGAACCGCTGATTTAAAGAATCTCTGTTTCGTCAAATTTTGCATTTTGCACTTCGATCAAAGTGCTTTATGTGTTATTCTATCAAAAGATTTCATTAATAAAAGATTGTTTTTAATGTGTTAAGTGTGTTTTTTTATAAATAGATTTCGTCAATAATAGATTATTGACAAAATATAAATATCATTACAGGTTTAAAAAATCATAATTGGTTGTATAAAATCCTAACTTAGGGAATCTCTGTAACTTTAATAGGGAATCATAGGGTTCCGCAGAGCATCTTACGGAAACCGCTGACTAATAGAATGCCTGTTTCGTCGAGCTTAGCATTTTGCACTTCGATCAAAGTGCTTTATGTGTTTTTCTATCAAAATTCAACTCGCGCTAAACTATTTTATGAGATTTAATTTCTGTTATAAACGAAAATCAAAAATTAGAAACGATAAGCTAATAATTATAAAAGTTGATTCGTGAGAAAGCTAACGCAGATGTGAGTTAAACAGAATTAATCTGCCTTTATCGCAAGAAACATCAAATGCAGTAATTGATTCATACTTTTTTTTTATCAACTCTAGGTTAAAATAAGTAAAACGCTCTATAGAAATAACGATTTATTCATGACGTCAATTCGTAAAAGAATTTCACCATTATCAGGTAATATTTATTCTGTCACTGATGGAACGGGATTAATTGTTTTTTATTGACTTAACAAAGAGAAACGCGCACAAATTGTTTTTCTAGCTTTTATTCTATTTTGTTATCTCCAATGTAGGCGAATTTTACAGAATTGTTTTACTGTCTCTTATTCATTTCTTTAAAGAATTTATAATATTTATATCAATGCAATGTTTGGTAAATAAGTAGTAAATCAATATTGCGTTATTAAATTTTGGGAATGTTTAGTTGCAATAAATTGCGCCATGTTTATAATGAATGCATTGTTATTTTAAACAGTGTCAGTCTTTCCTAATAGAGGTTCATATAAAGAGTTTTAAAGGATGTTAAACTTTGACATTTTTATTAGTAATTTATCGTATTCGAAATAACTTAGACCCGAAGCATCTTCTTCAAACACAAATCTTAGGGGCAATAATTTAAAAATTTGCATACAAACATTAAATCAAAATAAACGTTATTTTATTTAATTTTAACAAATATTTTGAAATTATAATCCTTCATTTTTGTTAAATATTTAATTTTATTTAATATTTATTCACTATTATTATATTTTATTTTATTATTATATTTAATTACATTACTATGTTTTGTTATATTATTATATTTTGTTATTTATTTCTGTTTATTTATTTGGTAAATTTCGCCCTTATCATTGAGTTATGTGCTTGAAAAAAAGTGATTATTGAAACATTTTCCTTTGTTTACTCTCTCAGATAAATCGCATAAATAATTAAACTATGTATATGATTCTTTGATCGATAAAAAGATGCAAATTTGCTACAAACATAACAAAGTATGTTTGTTTGCATGCTTTCAACAAAAAGTATGTTTTCGTTCAAATTAATTAACAGCATCGTTTCCTAATTTTAAAAAAAAACGATAATGACTTAATTTAACACCTCAATTCATCTTATTTTCACACGCTTCAAAGTTCCTAATAGTGTTATTAAATGATTCGTGATATTTAGTAAAAAACACAGAACTGAGAAGTAAATTTAATCAAACAAATGGTTTTTAATACTATTCTTAAGGTATCATGATAAATTTACCAAATTTTATCGCATATTGTAAAACCATATATTATCCTTAATTTTATCAAATTAACAGTGAGATATGGATAAGATTAACAATAATCATTACCAAAGCGC